CGTCGGTTTCAGGAATGCTGTTTGCGGATGATTTTGTCGGTATGTCGGACACCCCTGAGGGACTGCAACTGCAAATTGACGCGGCGAAGAAGTTTACTGATAAGTGGAGATTGTCTGCCAACGTTCAGAAGAGTGCCGTCATGGTATGCAACGAGAACAAGGAGGAACCAGTAGAACATAGATGGAAGTAGGGGATCGAGGAGATTGCAGTAGTGGACCAGTACACATACCATCTTCCACGAATGGTCATCGAAAACCCTGAATTGGCTTAAACTTCATGCTGCTGGATTATGTGAGGGTGTGTTGTACAAGATGAAAATATTTTTTTGTGTGCATTTCAGGCGCACACAGGCGCCAGTCCGGGCGCATTTGAATCCAGTGTTTCTTTCCGCCGCCGATGATAGCTCTCTCTTTTTCTCGCCCTCTCTCCTTCATTGTTCGGCCTCACTCTCGGTTGAACCAGTCTTTCACATCGTGAATGTAGCGCCATAATTTTACCGAGATGCCTCTCTGTTTTCGCCATATCTTTCGCGCGAGCACACAGTTCATCAATCTCTTGCAATAACTTAGCGCGCTTCATTTCTTGCATCGCGACATGCATCTGCTGCTTGGTCTCGTATACCGCTGGCATTGTGGTTTGTCGATATCACTTGGCAACATTTAATTTTTGTGTGTGCTGGGCGAAAACACGTAGCATCAGTACTCAAAATGCGTTGCCTGGCCACCCCCAAAGCGACCCCCTGCTCCCAAGGGCATAATTGCGTACTTTTTCGACGACCCGACGATCTGTGTCGGACGCGTGGGAACGAAACACCGTATTCAAAACAAATGAAGCCCATATCGAAAAAAAACTACTCTCACTTCAGGAGAGCGCCAGACGCTATTCCGTCTCCGCCTGCCCACTGGCATCTCCGGCACACCGACTCAACTCTAGCCGTATCTCGGCAACACTGACATCGTCGGCCCCCAACTTGGCCTCCCTGATCTCCAGCGCTCGTCTAAACAACGGTTCCGCCTCCCCATATTTCCCCGCCTCCCGCACACACACACCCAGCTCGTGCAGCGTCCAGGCAACTTGGATATCATCGCGCCCCAGCTTGGCCTCCTCGATCTCCAGCTCTCGCCGAAACAACGGTTCCGCCTCCCCATATTTCCCCGCCTCCAGCACACACCGACCCAGCCAGTGCAGCGTCACGGCAACTTGGATATCATCGCGCCCCAGCTTGGCCTCCTTGATCTCCAGCGCTCGCCGAAACAACGCTTCCGCCTCCCCATATTTCCCCGCCTCCAGCACACACCGACCCAGGTTGCACAGCGTCCAGGCAACTTGGATATCATCGCGCCCCAGCTTGGCCTCCTCGATCTCCAGCTCTCGCCGAAACAACGCTTCCGCCTCCCCATATTTCCCCGCCTCCAGCACACACCGACCCAGGTTGCACAGCATCCAGGCGACTAGCAGATCGTAGGCTCCGAACTTGGCCTCCAAAATGTCGAGCGCTCGCCTAAACAACCCTTCAGCCTCTTTGAATCGCCTCGACTGCCTTACACAGTTTCCCAGCACGTCCAGCACCCAAGCAACCTGTGGATCATCGCCTACTTTCTTCGATTCCTTGATATGAAGCGCTTTCTCCAAATATGTTTCCGCCTCCCCCAGACGCCCAGCGTAATACATACACCTACCTAGCTCGAGCAGTGTCGACACTGTTTGCAAGCTGGTTCCAAGGCCACCGTTCTCCTGGGCATGTAGCGCTTTTCGAAGCCAACTCTCCCCTTCCGTCCACTCCCCGGCTGCTGTGGCGCATACGCCGTACGCTTTGTAGATTGAAGACAACTGAGCTTGAGCAGCGCCGCCGTCTAGCGCCGATGGCTTCACGCTGGCGTCAAACAACTCCCCCAGCTGGCGCGATGCCTCTCCCTGCTCTTGCAAACGTCCTTGTATAGAAAGACTCCGACCAAGATACCAGAGGGCCACCATCCTTACACAAGAATCGGCTCCCGCGTCATCATCGGCATGCTCGAGTACTTCCCGCGTGAGTGTTTCCATTTCGGCGAGTTTTTGTTCCTGCTCGTACAGCTCGGCGACAACATCCAAAGCGTGACTTTTGGAACAGTCGGAGCCCATACTAACCAGCTCTTTGTCGTACGGCCGTAAGTCAAACCACCCGTCGCCTCCTACCCACTCCACTGCCCGCCAAATGTCTGACAGCGCGTACACATCTCTGCCGACCGCAAAGTCCAGACGAGAGATGCGGGAAGTCCATCTGCGAACGACTGGCTTGCGGACATCTCCCTGGTCCCTAATCTTGTCCCTCGCAAAATCCATGTGGGTGTCGTGCATGCGGTACTTTCCTGATGCGTTCATTGTGAGCACAGCCCACCTTTCCAAGATCTCTATCGCTCGGCTGGCAACCTTCATATGGTGAGGAGCGGGATCGGGAGGATGGGTGTCGTTTAGAAGCACGGCTGCGTCCGACACTCCGAATGCATAACCGTCGGGGAACACCGCGATCGCTACGTAGAGCTTCTGAGCCAGCGTCCCTTCCTCCTCCCCAAGGTAGTCGAAACCGGCGCGCAGAATCCCAAGCCTCTTGACCTGGCTGTCGTTCATCCCGTCAGCATCCTCCCTCACGTCAACGATCGTGTCATTGATTTTGCTCACGGCTTCTGCCCACGCCCCGCTGTCATCTGTGTGACGCACCATGCTCCAGCTCCCCACGAATGCGATGTCCATCGCCACAAAACCGCAGATATCATCCAAAACTTGCATCGCGGGATCGCACAAGCGCTGGCCGCGCGGCAGCTCAGCCGCACCGCGCAACACGTCCTCCGCCTCCGCCGGTGTGAGTTGGTCCACGTCCACCCCTTCGTTGGGTTCCACAATCTCGGGAAATCGCGTGGTCAGAAGCACCCACATACCCGTCTCCTTCAGCTTCGCGACCACTGGTGGCTCCCACACATCATCGGCCACCACAAGACACCGCTTCTTCGTTCGTGTCATCATCTTCTTCACGTAGCTCTCGCCTTTCTCGCCCGCCTCTGGCGCACCGGCAGTCTTTTTCAGCACGTCCTCGTGGAGCGCCTTGGCCAACTTACGCATCAGATCGGGTAAGCGGTCTGCGGCCCCCTCCCCTTTGCCCACCCGCAGATACACCACGCCGTCGGAAAAACGGGCCCTCACGCGTTCCAGGCGGTCCATCCGAGTACGTGCCTGGTCCTCTGTCTCATCATCGAGACCACGGATATCGACCTTCCGATTTCGTACCATGTCGGCGGCGGCGGTGGATTTGCCTGCACCACTCTTCCCCGTCAGCGCCGCCACCGCTGGTTCGTCCCCACTAAGGATCTTGTACACTTCGTCCTCCACATGATCGCGCACCGCGTGCCATGCCTCCCCCGCCGGTAGGCCTGGTGGCACAGGTGCTAGCTTAGGCCGCGGTCGTGGCTGCAGACGGGCCTGTGAAGGAACGAGTGGTGCGAAAGAAGATGTCGTAAACAAACAGGGGTACAAGTTTGAGTTTTCGAGCAAAAAAGGGAAAGAAACAAACGCGACAGCAGAAGAGCCTGTAAAAAAGCGGGTGGGGTGCAAATTGGATGAAGTAGTGTTCGATCTGGGGTTCAAGACGTGCATGGCATGACAGGCCCTGTAGATCAAAACCGTGGTGCCTACCAGGCCCCTACTGCTGATTTCCCCGAGAGACGGAAAGACGGAAAGTCTTACCAAAATTTGCCGCACATCCTCGAGTCGATCCATGATGTTCACCACGCCCGCGAGCCCCATGATTGGAACGATGGCCTCGATGCGCGCGCGCAGCCTCTGGATGTCGTCCCCATCTCTGCGAAATTGCGCAAGCCTGGCCAAGCACCCTTGATCATGGTAGCGTTTGGCCACCTCGTCGAGCTTGTCGACACACCCTTGGAGGGGGGATACATCGATCGTCGAGGTATTCGAAGCCTTGGCCTTATCGATCACCTGAACCGTGATCAAGTCGCACCGCTCGCACAGCTCCCCTAGCTCTTCTTTGTTGCGACTGGCCCCATCTACGATACCCTTGGCTTTGAGTAGAGCTACGCAGAGAGGGGCCACGACTGGCGTGGCCGCACCGATTTCGATTATTCCCGTCGCAACTGACTCTACCACAGTCGATATCCCAAGCCTCGCCGTTTCTTGCGCGGACTGAACAGCGTCACCTCGGGTCGCCATGGTTGAACTGTACGTTTTGTTGCAGTCGGGGCAAGGGGGTGGTACTCGGCGTCACAGTCTATTTTTTCTGATGTGCATCGCTGTCGCACAGTTTATCTGCTGCGCATCCTTCTTCCTGACTACAAAAATAGGGACGGAGTACCTGTCTTCGATCCGGCCAGCAATTTTCTTCTTTACTTCGTTCCGGCCAGTATTTTTCTTCGTGACTGGCAAAGATAAGGTAGCACAACATACTTCGTTCCGGCCAGCATTTTTCTTCTTTACTTCGTTCCGGCTGCATTTTTCTTCGTGACTGGCAAAGACAAGGTAGCACAACTCCTAGCCCCTTTGCCCACAACGGCGCCCAAATGGCCCACATGCGAAAAAGCTCGGTCCCGGTACCCTTTGTTTAGCCTATTGAGACAAATGACTCACCGCGCGCGCCCAGAAGTCTGTTGTGGATACCCTCCCCGTGCGCGCAGCGTTGCGGACAAACGAGAAAGTTCTGTTCCGGCTCCCCCTCGTGCGCGTAGCGTGGCCGAAAAATAAAGGAGATGGTCCGTCCGCCGCCCAACTGCAAAGCACCTCTCCCACAACAGTCTCTGCGCGATGGTGGTGGTTCTCTCGCTCTCTCTCTGCTGTTGTGGATTGCAGAGGGGCATGGAGGGAGGGTGGTATTCGGCGTCACACACTCATCTTTTGTTTGTTGTGCGATGTGTCAAGTTTTTACGCTGAACCTGGGGAGCTTGTGTGCAGTGGTCGTTTCAGAGCAAAATCGAAGCACGCCGGAGTTGGTACTGACTTAGAAAAATAGGAACGGAGCACCACGTCACACACCTCCCTTCGGCGTCTATACATTTTCCGTGCATTTTCTTCTTGCCCCTGGCAAAAATAAGTTTCTTCGCCCACACTGGCGCCGCAACTGCCCACATGCGAAAAAGCTCGGTCTTAAGGCTGACTCTTATGGCAAACGAAAGTTTCCCCGACGGAAAATAAAAACTCGTTGCGAAATTCCGTGCGGATAATCCGTAGGGAAGCTATCTTA